TCAACTTCAAAGATAACTCCAAGATAAAGCCATTTTCTTTTTGAAAAATATTCTGCATTTTTGTGGGACTTTTGGGGGATGGGGCAAGAAGTGTCATTACTTTACAAATCAAGTTACATAAACAGATCAGACTTTTGCTTGTCTTGAGGTTTTCATAAAATGATAGGATTCATCCTGCTTCTCTCTACTGCTGAACAGAAGAAAACCCTGTTTAATAAATTCAGTTGCCTTTTTTTTTTTTTTTTTTTTTGAGATTGTCTGAAGAGTGGAGTTTAATAATCTTGGAGTAGGACATTTTAAAAATAAAATGCATAATTTGCTGTCAGATAACAAACTTAAGTGGACTTTGTTTCCTTCCCCCCAAACCCTCAAAGTAATGCTGAACATTCCTACCAACCATCCCCTTTGACAAAAGCGTGAGGAAAATAGATGAGCTTTGCACTGTTCCACGAATGTCAATTAACTATGGCCAATGCATTGAATCAGACAAGCAAATTCCAGAGCATAGGACCTTCCATTGGGAATGTCCTGTCTCCATCCCTCAAACATTAAAATCTAGAGACTGGCTGGGGCACTTCTGCTAACAGTCAACTGCTGTGGCAGTGCAAAGGCTTCCAGCCACATCTGGGTCTATTAGAGAAAAGATCCACGAGTTGTGTCTTTCATTAATGCAGGCCAAATTCTCAGGCTTTCCCCATAGCCTCATATATACCATGAGCAGAAAGGGTGATATAGCGGAACTCTTCTTGAGAACGCTCTATACTTAAGTGGACTTACTCTTCTATCATAATCTTGTCTATACTTGCCAGTGTCTGCAGAGAGTCAACAAAATCTAATGGTCAATGGTACTGAAATCTACTTATGGATGGGGAAAAAAATACTATGGCCCTGGACTTCTGTCTGTTTCTAGGAAGAGATGAACAATGAAGCTAGTACAGTCTTTGTCTACCCAGTTGGAAAGCCAAATTGAAAGTTATCAAAGAAGTATAAGGACTAATGGCACTGCGGTTGCAGGCCACAAACTTTTCAATACCATTACACAGAAGTGGAAGGTCAGAGTCGTGGCAATAATTGGGAATTTTATCAGTACTAAAAGTAGGTTTCATGATCATGTGTCTAGCAACCGCTTGCCGGAGGGAAGCGGTTACATTGCCCACTCAAAGTGAGGCATTGGGGGTAATCAACATTTCCTTGCTATGTTTTCCTAGCAATGAGAGTACCTGGGCCAAGTCGGTATGTTAAAGAGAAAAATAAATGTATTCAGTGGCTCGTGTATGTGTGTACATGTGTGCATCTTTGTTAAACAAAATATTGCATTACTAGAGAGGGAAAAGTTCAGAAGATATCCATTTAAGTCTTGTTGGTTCTGATGTCAACATGGTGAATTACTGATGGATGGAGTCTAATTCTGTAAGAAAAATGCTTTCAAGTGGGTGAACAGAAACATGCTATAATTCTTTTACTATTACAAAACAGACTTGTCTGACAGGGCTTTAGTATGACATTAGTCACTGCTATACATTTGTATACACATCCTTAGGATGCTATATTACAGTGTGCCTTCAGTGAGAGCTGTGCATGAGTAAGCACTGCAGTATCTAAACCCTATAATTTTCTCATTCCAACAAAATATAAACAGTCACATATATTTTAAATGTTATTAGTAGAATCTGTGACTACTAAATGTATAAAAGAGTGAGTTTGAAAATAATCTACTCGCTGTTACAAGAAACACTCCAGATTATAACAAAACAATATAGGGGAAATGTTTTTTTCTCTCTCTCTCCAGTTTGACATCATTGCGTGTATCAATCACTTTAATTGTTTCTCATGTGCAGTCATCTAGTTTCTTCTGTTCTCTGCATGGGGTTTTTTTAGAAAAAGGAAAATAGGACCATAAAAACACAAGTGAGGTGGTACTTGAAACCGATTTTAACTCATTCTTCACTTTATAAATTGACTAGATTTGATTGTGGATTGATGCTTTGTAAAAAAGGCTTCTTTTTTTCTTTATGGTGTCTGAATAGCCTTAAGAGACAATTTTGTTTTTGTTTTTTTCTTCCCAAATTTTTTTAAATTTTAAAATGTTCTTATCACATTCTTTTGGTCTATGCATATACTAAATAGACATACATTTGCCAGTATATTACCAGTACAGCATGCAAAAGATTAAAACTTTTTCATTGTTGTCTGTTCTTTCTGTTAAACAGAAAGTGTTTATTTTGAACACCTTGAGTTTCAAAGTACATTTATTTGACTAACATCTAAAAAGATGCCAGTGTTTCAGGTCAGACTCCTTTGTTCAATTACTATGTGAGTTTTCAGATATGTAATGATCCTTGTTTGTTTCTAGTGGTTTGTAATGTAGCACTGTCGGATTTGTAGATTTACTTGGCATATTTCAGAGTTTATTAGTAGGTCTTTTTTTCTAGGTTCTCTCAGAACCTGTAACACTTATTTTTGTAAAAGTCTCTATTCTTTTTGTATTTGATGTACCATTACAGAAATATGTCAGAAAATGAAAAGGTTGCTTTTAAACAAAAAATAATGGACTTGTAGAACAATTTTCAGTAACGTATGTATAAGTTGATGTCAAAACACATCATTAATAGAATGTATTTGTTGCGAGTATAAGACACTCCCTCCTCCTTCCAGCTGCTGGGTTTCCTATACAAGCCATCACAGAGAGAAAAAATCTGAAAAAGATGGGAGATTTTTAAAACTGTTCAATTTAAAATTGATAGTGCAGAACTAATACAGTATAATTTTATATTTCTCTCCATTTCATTTTCCTTCACATGTGATATTTGAATTATAGCATTGCTTTGGCATAATAAGTGCTTGTAGAGTGCTTGAGGTAATTTGAAATTATAAACATTGCAAAATTTCAGTGATTCACAAAAATTAGCATTTTATATATATATATTACACCTCTACCTCGATATAACGCTGTCCTCAGGAGCCAAAAAATTTTACCGCGTTATAGGTGAAACCGCGTTATATCGAACTTGCTTTGATCCGCTGGAGTGCTCAGCCCCGCTCTTCCCCCCCGCCCCCTCCCGGAGCACTGTTTTACCGCGTTATATCAGAATTCGTGTTATATCGGGTAGAGTTATATCGAGGTAGAGGTGTGTATATATATTCAAATAAAAGTATATATTGTGAAGATTAATTGCTCAGTATTTGTGGCTATCAAGAGGAAATTCCTTTACATGTATGAGGAATTGTATTTGACATACAAGGGGAAAACAGAGTCATAATATTGAAACTACTTAGCTTAAAATGACCAGTAATATGATAAATATAGCCAGTCCTGTGTTGTTTGCTCAGGCATAAGTCTTGTTTATATCAGTGGAAGTTTAGCATGAGTAAGGAATGCAAGATCAACCCACTCCTCTTTTGCTTCTTTACCTTTTCTTTTCAAACATAAATGGGGTAACTATCTGAATTACAGTTAAACCACAACCACATAAATCCATTGGACTACCGTTCAAGCAACCTACCAAGTAGCTAAACACCAGACACAACTTTTTTAAAAGTAATTAGTAATATTGGGTGCATCCATTTTATTACCCAATTTGAGACACCTTTAAAGGGCCAGATTTTCCAAGGATGGATGTTCTGAAAAATCAGGCCTCTTCAATATGTCTCAGCTTTTGGCACCGAAAAATCAATGGGCACTTTTGAATATCTTGGTCTGAAGGAAAATGCTGCTGTTCTCCTTCCACTTTTCGACAGGGGAGGCATTTCTAAAATTTGGAGTGTTTAAAACTGGATCTCAATGAATGGTTACTTTTTTCTAAACTGGACCAATGCAGCTATTTTCCTGAATTGTGAATGACAGTTTCACAATCTCTGCCACTTCACCTGTTATTAGAATTTGGTGGTTATGAAGGCAGCTATACTATGTGTTTTTGGATTTCTAGTCTTAGTTGCTCCAGCCAAAATAATTGTAACAACATTCAAAAGCAGCTGTAGTCGGTTTTTTGTTGTTTTTGTTTTGCGTTGAAGGAAGCCAGTAATTCTCATTTTACTTTTGGGTGGAAGTATTATCGCTCAAATTGGGCTGACACCATACAATACATTGAGCTTTGAAATTGAATGTGTGAACTACTCTTTCAAAATGCCATGCTGTGTGACTCACCAAAAAAACAAAACAAAAAACCTTTCAGTAGGGCCATCGCTGTATTGTTTTTGATTGGAAGGTGTTAAGTCATCTCCAAGTCACCTGTCTAGTCAGAAAACTCAAAAGTATCTTTTCTTTTTGAAGGAATATCCAAATTCTGAATAGTAGCCCGTAGTCTTTCTTTGTCTTAAAGTATTTAGGTAGTAGTGGAGAAAAGGGATTTCCCTTCTCTCTCTCTCATTAAAGAAGGATCTGTGTAAACTTTAGTCTTGAATGTATGAGCACTCTTACCAAGGTTAGAGAAAAGGTCAGATTCATCTCTGTTTTAAGTGAGCACAAATCCATTGAAATTGGAAGTGTTGCACTGCTTAGGCCAGAGGTTAATTTTGCACTGATATCCTAATCTTGAATGCCCAGCATCCAAAAAAAATTCACTGTGGAGGTCAGACATCCACAATAGCAAATTTTCAATATGTGCCTTGCATCTGAGATTAAAATCCTGTATGTCTACACTGCAATTAAAAACCCACAACTGGCCTGCGTCAGCTGTCTTGGGCTCACAGGGCCAGGGATGCTATTTAATTGCAGTGTAGATGTTCAGGCTCTGGCTGGCGCCCAAATTCTGTGATGCTCTTCTCTCTGAGTCCCAGAGTTTGGACTCCATCCCAAGCCTGAATGTCTACACTGCAGCTGAACAGCCCGCTAACCCAAGTCCCACAAGCTCAAGTCAGCTGACACGGGCCAGCCACAGTTTTTTAATTGCAATGTAGACAAGTGCTGGCTTATGCTGTGGCGACTCCAATCAGCTTTTTCATGTACTTATTGCATGCACTGAGTTTTCTTTGTTATAATGTGGCTTTTTTCTGATCATCAGAATGTTATGGAACAGTTCAATCCTGGGCTACGGAATGTAATAAACCTGGGGAAAAATTATGAAAAAGCTGTTAATGGTAAGTCTTCCTAATTTTTAAATTCAATTATAAATTTTATAACTTTTAATTTTAAATGTATATGCTGTTTTAAGATATTAGAAGCTATATATAAGTTTAAATTCAATTTTGCATGTTAAATCATCATTTCTATTAATTTTAGGTTTTGTATTTTTCTTTAAATCAGTGAAAATAAGATTTTAGCTGCAGTGTTTACATCCCAAACATTTTACCATAGTGCTACTGCATGAAAAATAAAGTGAAACTGACTAATCAATTTTCATTGTCCAAGCTTAGTGGAAATGTAAAAATAATATCAAGGTTAAAAAAATTAGATGTTTTAATATCTTAAGTGTCTTTAGAAATGCATGGAAAAACGACCTGTTCCTGCCAACTCTTACTCACATAAGTATTCATTACCCATGCAAATAGCCCCATGAGTTCAGTGGGACTACTTGCATGAGTAAGGTTTGCAGGATTGTACTAGATTTAAAAAAATTAGACAGTGTCACTTTTTAAATCTAGTTAAAATTGAAATAAGTGAATTAGTGTCCTCGGACCCAATCTCAAACTTTTTCTCATGTGACATATACCCATCGACTTTAGTGGCACTGTTTGTATAAGAATTGATTTACAAGAGTGGGCTCTAGACCCCCAGAGTTTGCTTAGAGGGACCCCTTCTTTTACGTGGACCTATGGAACAATTTCATATTAGAGAGATGTGGACCCCCTAAATAATATGACCTGATTCAAGAGGCTGAAGGTGTCTATTGCTTGTCATTCTCCTTTGTCACAGTCCTAGACTTCATGAACATGTCAAGGGTAATGTATTTATCTTCAACCAAAAAGCCACTGGGATATCTCTTCGCTCTCAAACTCCAGTGCATATTTTGCAAAACAGTAAATTACAGCATGATGGAGACAAATACAAGGAAAATTGACGTATTACAAAAATGTCTGTTTAGATTCAATTAACTAATGCTTTATATTGGTTATGCAGTTTATAGAATGAAGGCAGTACTGTATATGACAACAATACTTAAACATTTTGAAAAGGTTTCATACTCGCTATTTTGATTCATTATGTATTGCTCACTAACACTTTGAAAATGCAGTTCAAACCTCTTATTGCTGCCAAATTCTTCTAGTGTCCATTTTAACAAAATATGTGTTTGTAACAGTGGTATAAAATGTACCTGGTCTTTACAGCAGCACTGGAGAAGTACATTGCTGTTATGTACTGTGTACCAGAAAATGTGTTCTTAAGAGCAGATTGATGTACCAGGTCTTGTATGTATGCTCAATTTAATACGAATGAATGTTTAATTACAACAGCTGATGAGCAACTAGCACATTATGGGAGCCAACAATAGAGATCTGATATAATTGTTGTTTTATGTAAGCTGTAACAAGGAGTAAATATTCTGTTCCCAAGCACTAAAATGTATCATGACTTCTCACATAAATCAGAATTAAACGGACAAAAAGTAAAACTTTAAATCCGACACAGAATGCTTCATTACCGTTTTTGTAGATACGGTGGGGTTACATGAATCTCCCTTTCTTTTCTGTATTACAAGTTACCAGTCATTAAACAGGTGAAGAGATTATATAGTATGTTTTCCCATTAAAAACAACCCAGCTATACAAGCATAGAAAAATCTTACTTTTAAAAAGGACCATTAAATAATGTAGATTGCATATATTGGGATATAACTTAACAAAAGACAAACTCCTGCTCACATACTCAGTCTGCTCCAAATCATTCAATCATATCTGGTGAAAGTGGTGGAGAAATTTTAAAAGTTATTGCTTGAAAATAGAATTGTGGCTTCCAGCCTGAGAGAATATTGGATTTAGATCAGAGCACCATACTGATCTCTTGGACTTCTGTATCCTATATCCAGTAGGTGAGGCTAATTTGGCAGCATCTATTCAGAAAGTTTGAATACTAAACCCCTGTGAAAGATGGCTTAGAAAGGAGTGAGAGACTGCAGGGACCTGTAACATAGTGAGAAGTTTCTCATTTTCATGCAAGAAGAGGGAAGCTTTTGCCTCAGGCTACTTCAGTAGCCCACGCCCCCAGGATGATTGATGATCCAGTGCAGAGGTGGGCAAACTATGGCCCGTGGGCCACATTCGGCACCCGGGACCGTCCTGCCTAGCCCCCGAGCTCCTGGCCTGGGAGGCTAACACTGGCCCCTCCCCTGCTGTTCTCTCTCCCCCGCAGCCTCAGCTCACTCACTCCGCCGCCGGCGCAATGCTCTGGGCTGTGAGCTCCTGGGGCAGCGCAGCTGCAGAGCCCGGCCTGACCCGGTCTCTGTGCTGTGTGGTGGCGGCAGCAGCATGGCCCGGCTCCAGCCGGGCAGTGCAGCTGTAGCACCGCCAGCCACCGGTGCTCCAGGCAGCCCGGTAAGGGGGGCACGGAGTAGAGGTGGTTGGATAGAGGGCAGGGGAGTTCGGGGGGGTGGTCAGGGGGCGGGGGTGTGGATAGGGGGCGGGGCGGTCGGGGGGAGAACTGGGGGGTTGAATGAGGGCAGGGGTCCCGGGGGGGGCAGTCAGGAAGGAGAGAGGGGGTTGGATGGGGCGGCAGGGGGCAGTCAGGGGCAGGGGTTCCGGGGGCAGTCGGGGACAGAGAGATG